TAAATTACTAAATCAGTCCGTAAATGTTAAAATAAAATTAAACAGTCACTACACATGATCAAAATATAAAAACACGCCTAAATAAGGGGGACTAAAAAAAAATATCCCAAAAATACATAGATGCATAAGAAACGGGTGAATAACAATTTCAGTCCTTATAGGTGACCAACTTGCAAAAACACGCTAAACTATGGGGGACTAAACAAAAAATATCCCAAAAATATATAGCATGCATAAAAAAGGGGAAATAACAAGTTCGTTTCTTATAGGTGACTAACATGCAAAACCGCACTAAAGTTAGGGAGACCTAAGCGTGATTTTGCCTTAAAGTTCCCCTATATAGCCTATTTCTCTTTTTTCACTTCAATTGAAAGTTTTTTGAAAAAAATTCTAAAATCCTCTCCCCTTTCTTCTTTTCTTTCGATCGGCCCACAGCCGGCTACCCTAAACTGCCACTCCGACAGTCATTCCAACCACCACACATGGAGGTCGATGACCTAAACTATGCCCCAAACTCACCTACTCGCCCTAATCTACCCACCTAAGCTTAGATCTAGGGCTTAAACCACCTAAAAGAACCCCTAAAACCCCAAAACAATCTCGACCTTCCTCTTCTTGTTTTTCCCATAAAGCCTAGCCTTTTTATTTTATGATATTTATTTTGAAACCAAAAATAAAAAAATACGTCAAAATTTTTCTGCTTTGTATTGCTTCTAAAAACGAAAAGGGAACCCCCTTAAAAAATACAACATTGTTCGGGTTTTATAACCCATGTTTTTTCTTTAAAGATTTCTCTTTTTTAATAAAATGAAATCATTACATTGTCTTGCGTGTTGATGGTTGCTTATAGCAGAGGTGCGGAGTGGTGTGTTGGAGCAGCAGAGCTACTGGTCATGGTTGGTGGAAACGGCAGTGGCAGTGCTATGGTGCAGACCTAATTAGGGGTGGTCGGGGCCGTTAGATCTCTCCCAGATCCAATGGATGTGATTATACGACGACAGCTAACTGGAAACCCTAGGGTTTCAAACCCTAGTTTTTAGTTAGGCTTGGGCTGCTGTCGAGCCTCGGTTTGGGTCGGGTTGTAATGTTGTATCATGCTTGGATTATATCCGGACCCAATTAGGTCTGTTGTAAAAGCCTGCAACAAAATAATAATAATAATAATAATAATAATAATAATAATGGTGTCGGGACAAAAATAGGTGTCGACATAAACAATTGTCTCTACATCCAACCACTAATCCTATTGAATTAAGGCATGGTTTTATGAATTTGAAATGCATATTTATATGCACAAACCAAGTGATTTTTAGTAATAAGATATTTATCGTTATTTTTTTAAGTCTTGAGTTAGAGCATCATGATTGTCATATGTATAAACGTTCAATGTCAAAAGATTGATAGTTATCTTTAAACATATATTATATTGTACTTACTTTAGATTAATAAGGAAAATATATATATATATATATATATATATATTTAAGTTTATGAATGTTATTTTTAACGATAACAATTTAAATCTGATGACTTTTGCATGGCTTTCATCTTGCCATGTTTTTTTTATAATAAATCTAGGTGAATATAAAATAGTATCTATTTAAAGATTTTTAATTAATTGATAATAAATGTTAATTATTTTTACTAGAATTTAAAAAATTTAAGAAAATAATAAATTTTTTAATCATTAAAATCATTTGAAGTGTATTGTCATTTTTTTAACTATTTGTGAGTCTTGAGGGGCTCAATAGACAGGCTTTATCAATGTTGCCGATATATTTAACTTGTTTATTTGTTTAATTAATAATGGCATTTCCTAGTCGTTTCATGTTTTTATCTTCCTTGGTGAAACTGGCAATGATAACAACGGATCTGAGTACCTTGGTATTTGCGAAGTCTCACACTTAAGTATTTACCGTAAACTATTCAAATGACCACTTAATTATAGAGTTATAGTCGATACAACCACTATACTTTCAATTTCGATAATACGATTATATAACTATTTAAGTTGTTTTAATGTAGCTACCTACGGTTAAAAATAAACGGAATAGCTTATGTGGACCTCTGACTCGTCATTAGTCAATAACAGTCACATCAACAATTCCGTTTGTTTTTTAAGACAGGTGACTACATTAAAACCACTTAAATAGTTATGTGCATATTGTTAAAGTTGAAAGTATGGTGGTCATATCGCTATCAATCCTATAATTAAGTGATCATTTTAGTAGTTTACCCAAATATTTATGTTGTATGAAACGTATACATAATAATAACAATAAAATAATACTTTTTTTATACATCAAATATAACCCTCTATTTACCTGTATGTTGAAGGAAGTCACAGAACTAGTTTGTTTCCTAACTTAATCTTTGCAGAGAAAAATGGGCCAAGGGAAAATGAACTTCTCAATGTACTACAATTAATTGAAAGTAGGGTGGATAAAATTCGATTTGACTTGAAAAATTAATTTTTTTCAATTTGATTTAATTTGAAAAATTCGATTCGAATTGATTTCGAATTATAATTTAATAAACTAGAGTCGAGTCGAAAAAAATTTCAAGTTCAAATCTAGTTATAAAATACAACTTGAATAGCTTGAAAATTTTAATAATTAGTAGATTGATTTTCAAGTTTGAGTCGAGTCCCTTAACTATGTATGATATATGTATATCACATATGAAAAAAAATGAAGAAATATATATATGTATTGTACATGGTTATAAAAACATTTAATTTGAAATCAAATAATATCATAATATTATAAATATTTACAATTAAATTTAAACAAAAACTCAAAAACTCGACTTGGCTCGAAAAAATTTCAAGTCGAGTTCAAGTTATAAAATAGGACATGTCAACTTAAATAACTCGAATTTTTTGCACTCGACTCCATCAAACACTCAACCCTAAATTTGAAGGCAACATCAGAAAGCCCATTATAGTCTCCTTTCTCACGTCCGTAGTACCAATTTCCGGCACCAATGGATCATCAGGATTTGGGCAACACCTAATGTACCAAATCCATTTATTGATACATAATTTAACAAACACAATGATCATATAAAACAGATAGATTGTTAATGGAAAATAAACTTAGAAATTGTTAGTGCAGGACTCCACTGCTCCTTCAAAATCTCTAGACAAATGCTTCCTTTGCTGTTAATATTGGGGTGGTATACCTTCGTTTTAAAGGCCAGCTGCAAAATCCATTATCAAGAAACAAGTAAAATTCAAAAGTGAAGTAGAAACAAAAATGTTTTTACTTAATCTTTTACCTGTTTTCCGTATAGTATGATGCTGTATAGTAACAATAAAACATATATTGATTATAATTTTACTCTAGAAACTAATACCATATTGAAATTAAATCCAATATCATGTTTGACCAAACTAGATTCTTATAGTTTCAGAAAGAATGGATTTTGAATGGAATTTTCTAAGTCTTTTCCATTTCTTAAGATGTGTCTAACTCATGTCTCAATTAGCCTTTTTATAGCGGAGACGAAATAAATTGAAAGTTTAAGATCATTTGACGAAGAATTGTATCTCAACATGATTTCCTTGAATTGATATGTCGTGTGTGTAAGCGATGACATACCTTGCACAAATAACTTCATGACAATAATTTGTTTCCAATGGTTATATCCATATAGCCACGAACATCTCCTGATTTTGTAGGAGCTTAGAGAATTATGTCCTAATAGTCTCCTTGAAGCGATTCCGCTTCACTCTCACATTAGTTTCTTATGTTGTTCGGCTCACCGAAACACATAGTAGTCGTTAAAAGCATTGTTTAACTTTTTTTCATATTTTAATCAGGTAAAAATCCTCATGGTGACCTCACAAGATCTATGCAAGTAGGTTGTTTCATTGAACCTAGATCTTGAGATCTCCAGTCAATTATATTGGTTTTTCCTTCACATTGTGCCTTAAGAATTCATGCACTTCAGTTCTATTCCTTTTGATGTCTTATCAACTTGACCTCGATTCAACCCTTTAGCTAGGGGATCCACAATGTTATCTTTTGATTTTACAAAATCAATAAAGATAAATTCATTTGAGATCAATTGTTGGTATTATATCGACAACGTATATGTTTTGACTTACCATTATACATCATGTTGTGTGCCCTATCAATCGTTACTTGATTATCATAATATATACTTATTTTTTTGTCATTACATTCGTAAGACATCCTCACACTTTTAAATAGTTGTAGAAAGGTTTTCTATTTTTCTATAACTATCACCATTTTCTTAAGGTCCAATTCTCTCGCTTTGAATTAAAGTTCCTGGTGAGGAGATCGCAGTATTTACCTTCACAACTACGACCTAGGATTGTTGCACTCTAAAGCCTTGACCTTTATTGTTCAATCTTTGCATATATGGATCCTTATTTTATTATCTTTTTTGTCATCTTCTTTTGTTAGGTTTGGATATAATGCTTCAGCTGATGATGTTAAAGAAATTCAGTTTGAGGGAGTTCAAGGTATGTGGCACTATGCACTTCACAAATCTTCTTACAAAAGCTTCAGCTGAGTTGTAAACGTGTATTTTGGTCGAGTGAGACCTTGTGGTGAAACGCAGTCCAAAATAATAATAAAAAAATGTTTGATTCAATGGTTTGTGGGAGAGGCTCTGCTTAACTTGGAGATAAGGGTGAATATTCGATCGAGTCGAGTAAATTTTTTTTGAGTGAGACATTTACTTTGTTATCTTATTGATTAAAGTAATATTAGTGTTTGTAATTCATAATTTTAGAAAAATGTTGTATAAAATTCTTTCAGCTTTTGCTTCGCATGGAATGTGGGATGTGATATCTCTACATTTGGTTAGAAATTGTCAAAATAGATGTCTCTTTGTCTGCAACTTTAATGGAGTATATTGTCTTTATGTTCTAAAACATTTTACCATACAACTATAGGATACATAAACAACTTGATTTATCTAACACATTTTTGGCCCAGTGAATTCTTAAGTTCTATAAATCTGATTCATAAAACTAAACAATCTCACGATGGAACTGATGAAGACGGAATGATTTCTGATGTCTCTGGTTTAGTTTCAGATGATGGTTGGTTCCCCATGTTTTCTCGCTGAATTCCCTCCACCATTTTCACCAAGACAGACGTTTTCGGTCTCTGCTCTGGAATTCTCACGACACAACTCATCCCGATTTGTAGCATCTCCACCATTTCCTCCTCGATATTCGGATACCGCAATAGTTCTATGTCGAAAACTTCTGCAGTCCACTCTTCTCTAACTACGGAATGCACCCACCTCACCAGGTGAACAATCTCCTCTCCGCCGGTGGCATGTACCGGTGATTTTCCGGTTAAGAGCTCGAGTAACAAGACCCCATAACTGTATACGTCAGATGCTTGAGTTGTTCTCCTAGTGTCTGTTACTTCTGGCGCACGATAACCCGCTGCTCGCATTGCAGATGGTGGCACTGGACTCATAACTGCTGCCAAACCAATATCTGAGACACAACCATACCCTTCAGAGTTACGGAAAACGTTGGATGCTTTTATATTTCCATGGACAAGTTTTCCATTGTTTTGTGCGTGGATATAAGCAATGCCTTTTACCGCACCGATGGCAATTCGAAGCCTAGTTTCCCAGTCCATAGGTCTCCGACCTTCACCTATTTTACCTGAAACCAAAAACCATGGATTAAGAAATCAATGAGTTAACAGATAGACTTAAGTGTTATCTTATTGAATAATGATTCATCATTCAAGAGCTGAGCTGAAGACTGAAATTAAGCATATCGATTCACCATGTAGCAGAGCAGAGACGCTTCCTTGGTTGTAGTAATCATGAACCACGAGCTTCTCATCCTTGGAATAATAATACGCCCCAACTCCGGACACATTCTCATGTTTGATACACCCAACTGCCTCCATCTGTTGCTCGAACTCCCGTTTGCCGGAAGTTACCTCCTTCAGCCTCTTCACTGCAACTGTTGTACCATCCTCTAAGGCTGCTTTGTATGTTACTCCAAATGTACCCTTCCCAAGCACCTCTGCAGATGCTCTCAGCAAGTCCTCCAAGTCAAATACTAAATTACATCCATCAAAGAAGACGAGCCTGGTGTTCTTATCATGATTCTCATAAGCCTTGTTCTTCAAAGATACCTCTTTTTTTGTGGGAAATTCTTGTTGCTTTTGCTTCATTGAGTGACAACAGATCATCAAAAGGGCAACTAGCACGAACAGCAGCAAGGAACCGCCAATTATGATCCCCAAGAGTGAAGGTTCAGCCAGTTTTTTGGCTTTCTTTGAAGGCCGATGAGCATTGGGTGGCTGGCTTGGAAGAGCAGGAGGAGGAAGGGCGTTTCCAGATGAAAGATTATTACCAGAAAATGCCCAACTTGGAAATCTTTCAAGGGTCTTGGGAACAATCCCTGTAAGATTGTTGTTGGCTAAATCAAGGTGTTGCAAACTAGGGATATTGATTTCAGGAATATCACCTGAAAGAGAGTTATTTGAAAGATTCAGAATAGTGAGGTGAGTCAACTTTGAAACTGAAGGAGGAATGCTTCCATTGAAGCCATTGTTGGAAAGATCAAGGACTGTAAGATTATTCCAAACCGAGAAATCAGGCAATGTGCCAGACAACTTGTTGAACTGAAGATAAAGGGTGGTCAAATTCTTGAGTTGAGCAAAATCAGAAGGGAATGAACCCGAAATTCCATTTGATCGAAGACTGATAATCTCGACAGCAGATAAACGACCGAGAGTGTTAACCGGAATAGGGCCACCAAGTCCAACACCAGGCAAACGCAGGGCAATAACTCTGGAATGATCACTGTTGCATGTCACCCCTATCCAATTGTTGCATACAGAAGTTTCCTTGCTCCAGTTGAGAGATCGTGAATGATGAATATGCCCAATGAAATCTAGCAATGCTTGTTTATCTTGAACTGGTTCAGCAATGATGAATGGGAAAATAGCAACCAGCACGAAGATGAACAATGGGTTAATTTCCTTTCCCATTTTCTCCAGCAGCATCAAAACACCTGCAATTCAACCAGAGAAAAAGATGGATTCTTTGAACTTTTCTGCAAATTATGGCCACATCTACAATGATCAATCAAATTAAAATCAGAAACGTAAGCATTAAAGAATCTGGTACTGAGCATAAAAGATACTGACTTAAATGACTTTGAGTATAAGCTGAATTTTGTCAAAAGCGGCAATTTTAGGTGCGTTAGGTGCTGTCGTTCTGTTGACTTTTCTTTTTTCCATTTTTCTCTGTTTGGTCACTGAGAAAAATTGTTGGCAACATAACAAGAAAAGGAATCTGCAATCCAATTAAGCAAATCTAATGGAACATAGTTAAAACCCAGATTAGCTTTAATATTCCATTACACACATTCACACTCAGTGTCCAATTCACACTCAGTGTCCAAACATGGCCAACTCATTGATTCTGTCAAAGTCTCCATATTTTCAAGAAGCAAACTTCACTACGAATGATCAAATTTACTACCAACGAAAACTTTCTCGACCATCTTTCGCTTCATTTCTTGATAACCAAACAGATAATATTCATACATCAAAAGGAATAAGAACAAATAGTAGAGTTTAACTTACTTTCAGAGAACCCAGAGTCCAAATCAAAAGAAACTCCCTAAAGAGCCAGAGATGATCAGAAGGAGAAAAGTATCAAATACTATGAGATTCAGAAATGAGGCACATTATTCAAGAACCAGACAAGAGTTACGGGAGGGTCGCTAACGAGTTTCATGATGGCAATGATAATGATGAGGATCAAATATCAATGAAAGATTTATGAGCTGTTCTTGCTAGAGAGAGCAGAACCAATGCAAGTCAACTTATTAAAAAAAAAACCATATAGCGCATGACTTGGAACTTCCATGTGACGTAGAGACAAATGAAAAGTAGGAATTCTGATTCAAAACGAAAGCTTTTCATGATAAACTAAACAACCAATTTTCAAGCGCATCCACCTCAATAGTTAAAATAAGTATTATTATCCCTTAAGGTTTTGAATTTGAGCAATTATCTCTGCATAGTATGTATACATTCTCAATAGTTAAAGAACAATATATTATCCATATAATCACCCAGACTATTAAAAAAAACCCAAAGGATAAGCAAAATGATAGGGTGATAGTTTACAACATTAGGATTTCTTTTATGGCTTGTTTGGTATGGTTAACCTTACATTACTTCTGACAACTTAATTTTAGAATAAATTATTTCATTTGGTTTTGTAACATTATTAGATGGGAGTAATATAAGATTACCAAAACATTATTTGAAATGTAAGGGTTGAATGTCATTACATTTAGTTTTTTTTTTCTCTCTCTCTTTCTCTATCAACAAGTTTTTTTTCTTTAGATTTTGTCGGCGATAATATCAGTCTTAGTGTTGGTCATCAACTGTCAGTGTACATCTTTAACATTAGTTTTGGAACTCCATAATTTGATCCGACCCGAAGATTGAAAGATTAAAGCACTACACGAGACCACCGAAGTGACTAATCCAAAATTTTTCTTATAAAACAACATCATTAAAATACCTTCATTTGAAATCATAGATGAAAACATGAGTATAATAAGTTTACAAAAGTGGGGAGCTCCCGAATACATCCCAAAATAGTAACGTATAAAGTATATCAAAATAGAGTTACGACTCGAATACATATAAGTATATGAATAGTATGTGCCATCTAAAATAGACTCAAGATGTACTCTGATGCCTCAGCAAATCTGGAACACGAACCGGTAATAAGTTCCTCGAGAATCCTCCTAAGAACCTGCGCACATAAATAAATTTCGAACGTTGAGCTCACAAGTTCAGTATCACACGAATAACTTTACTATACTTCATGCATTCATCATATGGACATACTAGCAATTATAGATATGAGCAAATAAGAACATTAAACACATAACCAGAGGTAGGCATCATAGTGTGGTAAGAGGATTTACTACATCTTGGGACTTACCCCTCTAGCCTATCCATTGTGCCTTCGGGTACCTAAGATGAGATTCGAAATTTCTACATCAGAAACGTAAACTTGACTAGCTTACCTCTTGGAGTACTTAGGACATCTGCGTCCAACTAGCAAAATAAGTGTCTTGGCATTGGTTGAGATATATATGGATATTTTAAATCAAACAAGACAATCGCCATACTTGCTAAAGTAACTCAGGTGTCCTTGTTGTTTCTTGAATGTCACACAAGGGCATTGTTTTATGGCCTCTTATTTCATAACATTCTCGTTGCTTATAACGTATTTATTTGATGTTCTCACTTGCAAGCTTATTAGAGAAGTTTAGGTGGTTCTAGACATCAATTAAACAAACACATGTTTCACATTCAGGAGGACGAAAGAAATTTGATGGGATATTTTGAGACTCACCAGACATCGATGTTGACGATTGTCGTTGATGACGGACAAAAGTGGTACAAAAACGACTAGCATAGTGGTTGGTCACAACGAGCATGGTCGGAATCTGGATTAGTTCTAGCTAAGGAGAGGAAAAATGAAGAAAAAGAGGAAAAAATGAAAAGAAAAAAAAAATTGGCTTTCATATGAATCTAAAGACCATATTGTTTTTGTAGACACCCGTTTTTGTCCGGGTCTTTTCTATCTAATTTTAATTATTATTATTATTGTTATTATTATTATGTTTATTAATTATTATTAATTATTATTTTTTTTGCAGGCCAATTTTTGAGGCCCAGTACATCAACCCAGTCAACCCAATTACAATACTTGACCTGAATCAGGCCCAGCTGCTCCGGATCCGACCCATCCAAGCCCAACAAGTTGACCCATACCCGGTTAGGGTTTCACTCTAAGGCACCAGCCGCTTGAGATTTCAGCCGTTGGATCAGATTTGATCCAACGGTCCAAAGGGACCCTGTTAGGGTTTCAAGCACTAAACCAAAGCTCAGCCGTCGCCGCCCTCAACTCTTCAATTTCTCAGCCGCTCAAGCCGACTGTTTCCCTCGTCGCCGCCACCATCGGAGCCGAGGGGAGTCCATCCATCGAACAGTGATCGATTCCTGCAAAAACAGAAAACAAATCAACCCCAAGTTATCATCTACAGTGCACCAACTCCCCAAATTTAAAAACCCCAAATAAAATATAACCTAAATCCCGATATTTACGGGATTTAATCCTGCAAAATCAGTGAGACTCATACCCCTATTCTAGATATCATCATCATCTCACCCAACAAACAAGATTAAAGGACATGCAGCAACAAAAAGGGGGGTCATTCGGGGGTGAAAAAAAAACCGAGAGAGCCATTGGGTGAGGGCCCAAAAAAAAAAAAAAAAAAAAACGAAAAATAAACCAAGGAAGAAAAGAAAGAGAGGGATTCATACCTCGGTTGGAAGCTGAGTCGCCGGAGATGGAGAAACCGAAAGGTTTCTCCTCGGATTTACCACGTTTGAGCCATTTTTAGGCCAAACGGAGGCCAGATCCTTGCTCAGGGCCTGGAGACGCTTTGAATGGTGTCGTTTTCTCTCCCTCCGGCGCCGCCGTACGGCGGCGGCCGCCGGTCAGTGGCGGCCGGCACGGCGGAATCTCGCCGTTTCCAGAGAGATTTCTGGATATCTCTCTCTCACTCTCTCCTCTTCTCTCTCTTTCCCTTTCTCATGCTGAAGGGAAAATGAAGCAAATGGACAAAGATGGCCCGATTGTTGGGCTTATATGCAGCCAGCAAAACGACGTCGTTCGGTGGGGAGAGATACTGTGCGTTTTGCTTTGAGGGTATATTCACGCACCTGGTCCTTATAATTTGTGTAACGCTCGTTTTAGCCATGAATGAAACTTTGTGAATTTTTATTTCGGGCATCTACTTTTAGTTGTTTATATTTAAGTCCTGATTTCTTATATTTTATCATTTTTGTGTATATTCGAATTTGGACATTAAATTTATAAATATTTTATATCAGTCACTGTTTATTATTTGATTTAATTACTGTTCGGCCCTCTATGTTTCTGTTGATATTTTAATTTGGCCTTAATATTTATGCATGTTACATTTTGGTCACTCTTACAGTTTATGTATTTTGTATTTTTGTATACCATGTTCATATAGTTTGTATTTTGGTCACTAGATCTTCTGTTGCTAATATTTTTATAAATTTGTACATTGTATTCTGCAGTTATATATATATATCTTATTTTAGTCCTATTATTAAATGTAATGTTATTATAGTCATACTTGACTTTGGTCCCAATGTTTGTAATAGTTTCATTTTAGTCACCAATCTCGTGTTTTGTGTATTTTCTTTGATGTTCAAATTTGGCTACAGAATTTATGAATTTTTATTTTGGTCACTGTTGGTTGTTTTGTGTTAAATATGGAATGTAGCATGTATGTTTGCTTTTATGTCATTTTAATCCTTTATCATCATTTTTGGGTTATTTTCATTTCAATATTTGTATTATTTAACATTTGCTACTTGGGCTCTGATTTGTTTGTAATTATTGTTGTAGTCCCTAAGTTTCTATTTGTTTCAGTTTAGTCCTAAATTCATGTTTATGCTATTTTATTCCTTTGACTTTCTGTTTTACTATTTTAGCCATGTAAGTTCATGTTTTATCATTTTAGTCCCCGAAATTATCCTATGTGTTTATTTAATTTATATTTATATTTGGATTTGTAATTTCATCTTAGTTTTATTTTAGTCCTTTATGTATGAATATTTTATATAATGTAGTTATTTATGAACATATATATTATTGGCTCTAGTTATTGTACATGTTTTATTTCGTTTTTTAATCGTGCTTATTTCCTTGGTTTTATTTATGTGTTAATATTATTAGAATACTTTTAAGAACATGTATGCGTAGAATGAGCGTGGAAAGTATCACTTGGTCGAAGTGGTACGATCCGATACGGCATTTTAACGACATAGTAACTTAAAATAAGTTGAGTATATTTTGTTAATTTGTGCAAATGATGCAATGTGAGTTATTTTAAGTAGTAATTTATTTTATTTTATGTAAATGTGAATTTCAAAATTTTCATTTATATTCGATTCGCATATTTATCAATGAGGGAATATTCTTTTATTAACTAGAAATAGTCGAGTTAGCTTTCCTGATGGAGGATTACTAATTTCGATATTTCTTTTCGAGTTAAAGAATTTTCTGTAATTAATTTAATTCGAAGCAAATTAATTAATGTTCGATAAATGGATAATAAACTAACTTTATATTCGATTTGTAACTTCCACCATTTATGACGATGTGTAAGCGACACAGTACCAATTTTGGGCGTTGTGGGGGTGTTAATCCTTCCCTGCACGTAACCGATTCCCGAATCCATTTAATCGAATCTTTGGTGACGCATACCAAATTGTCTTATAAATTTTTTAAATTGTTTTAAAAGACGTTTTTAGGTATTCGACCTACCTAACCTAAAGGTCGATGGCGACTCTATTCAATTTAATCCAAATTAATCCAAAATACCCAATTTTTCAAAATAAAAGTCATAATCGTTTTAAAAATAATATTTAATTGTTTATTAAAAAATGGTTATGACAGTTTTGGTGTAAACAGTTATGTCATCACAACATTTATGATTAAACGGTGGAGTGACAAAAACCAAGAATAATGTCAAAGTTGAATGGTCAAGTTGATTTTTTTTTAAGTTTAATGACCAAAATTGGTGCAGGGTTAAATTTGAGTGATAAATATATAGTTTACTTTTATAAACTCAAGAATTTTGCTGTTGAAACTTCTTGTAGATAATTTCCCCCTCAAATATTTCATATTATGAAGAATCTGTCTCCAACATTGGCATAGTGAAATTACCAAGTTCTTATGGAGTTCCAACAATCAGGCAGCCA